GCGCACCGACGGGAGTCTGCGCCAACTTCGCAGCGACGGGGGGGGGGGGGCGGATGACCGCCCCCCTGAGATCTCGAGAACGAAGCAAGATAGCGATAAGTGGTAAACGGCATCGGATACGCATGGTCAAGATCTACAATTTTTACTCAGGTCATTTTCAGGTCAGGTCAAAGATGACGTCACAGGGGTCGAAAAAGTCAAAATGGCGGTGCTAGATATGGAGAGAGTTTTTCTCGAATAACTTTCGAATTAGTCACGATAGGAACAAACTAAGGGCATCATCGTGATCCTCTCGTTAATCCGCATCGAATGATATATATGATGACCTCGAAAAGTCAAGGTCAAAGGTTGACCTCAGGTCACGTGACCTCGAGGTCAACATGTATATCATTCGATGCGTCTTGACGAGCTGAACACAATGAGACCATCCACGCGGCTGTATCTTGTTCCTGTACGGAGTTATTGGCCAAAAACCTTTGGTGACCTTTGATGACGCCACATGACCTCACAGCTGCCCAACAGCAAAACAGACCTCAAGGTAGTGAAGGTTGATCGTATATGAAGTCATGTATGGTATATGGGGCCATTCCGACCCGTTTTAGTGGTAAAAATAGGGAGTTGATTTTTCCCCCATTGACTTATAATGGGGAGGTCGCGAAATTGACCTGACCTTAGGTCACCGATATCAAAATTCCGAGATATACAAATTGTAGCTACTAATGACCTTATAACATCCTGCGACTTTCAAAGGCCTCCGACATCTACTGTAGCTCTGGCACGGTGACAAAGTTGCAAAAAAGTGACTTGAGGTTGGGTCATTCAAAGTGACCTGGTGACCTGACCTTAAAAGGTAGGAGGTTCAAACTTGCACACCATGTGTAAAATTGATGAGGGAATAGTCATACCAAATTTCGCGGCGCTACGCGCCGCGGTTTTCCCGCTATTCGCGAAAAACCTCAGGGGGGGGGGGGGCGGATATCCGCCCCCCCGTCGGTGCGCGGGTTAAATTCTTACGAGCTCATTTGCCATGCAGTCTGTTTCACCGACGGCTGAGGTCGCGTTTGATTTGAACGTTAATTCGAGCGTATATTACCGTTCTGATGAACATGTAATTTCGTTACCGGGCGGACCATTTGCATTTACGTGCCAGCGTAGAACAGCAAAATTGAGTTCGACCTTCAATATTACCCGACTCAATGTGTAATTCAATTCCACCTGCCAGCTGTTTCCCGGATCTTATACTTTTGTGTGAAGTTAATATGTTCCGAAATGACCTATCGCACCAGCGAAATCAAATCTGACGAACGTTCGCGTACAGAACGAACGACAACAGAAATCGTGAAAAAGCACATGCTGTCAGTGATAATTATGCATTCTTGAATACCATATTTCATATGTGATTTTTCAATAATAGGTTACGAAGCAAGTGGGCAACGGAACATGAGCTGCAATATCCGAGAGGTTATTTGAAGTTCTGATCAACACTTATTTGCCATATAATACATCGCACACATTGCAGGGAAGGCCAGAAAATACACAGCAAATATTTGGGCACCGATAGATTATCGGTCCATAACACTATATCGGTCACGCTCAGGCGGAGGAACGTCTTTGAGGGTAAGAAATTCCACATCTATCGACAATAGATCGCACATCAATCATACTGTGATAGTGCTATGATAGTAAATTCATTCTTCAGCAGCGGCTTGCATGGTAGTGAGCAGCGCTACAGCTGATCGCATTACATCTGAGCAGCAGTGCTGGAAGTGGTGTTGAACACTCTGTTTTATCTTTTGTTAATCATGTTCAACAAACACAGCCAATATTCCTCAAAGGAAGACTGCTATCTGTGATGAAAATGGTTCTATGTTTTAATGCACTAAGTGGTTGGGGGAAGTCGTGAATCATAAATAACACATATCCTTCTACGGAGCACACAGTCTTTTAATAACCCTAAACGATATTAGTTAATTAAACTGAAGGCAGAGCGCAACGCCAAGGCACTTGTGCAGACATAAAGTAGCTTCACAGGAAGATGAAATACTAAAAAAACGTGAAACTGAAGTCAAAGATAATAATAGGGTTTTGTTGCATATTTTTTGTGCGTGCATGAATTGCGATAATGGACGTTTTGTAAAGGACGGTCGTATTCATTAAATGCGAAGAAGCGGTTCAACGAACTTAGGTAATAGGTACATACCCGCGGTCCGGTTCTGCCCAGCCTGGTAAAAAGCCACTGATATAAAAAGCCAGCGCATGTGTGTTCTAGTGTGCACTGTGCACCACACTGCGCCTCACAGCACGGTCCCACTTGTGTACATCATAAGCTTCGTTTCCACCAATCACGGAACAGCCCAAACACTCCCGAAATCAACCGTAGTGCCTCTTGACCCCTATGTGCCGCGGCCGACCTGCCCTAAACGTCCTCCACATCCGGGTCGTTTTTCAACGATTTGCTGCTGTTCCGAGTTCTGCTGAAGGAGCAACTAACGAAACCGGCGTGGACTGGGCCGAATCAGAGGCGCACTTGGGAATCTGAAGTGGCCGCCGCAGTCCACAAATAGAATCCGCCCGGCTGGTCGCGGAAAGGTGCGCCTTCGCAGCCGGAATACAGGCGTAGAAATGACAGGGTGGCCGAGGAAGGGAGAGAGGCGGAGAGCGAGCGAGTAAAACAGACGGAAGAATGAGAAAGGTAAGCAAGGAAAAGGTTTGGGAACTAGCAGACGAAAAAGCTAAAAGGAGAGTGAGTGAGTGATTGAAATAAGGTCGAAAATTGACAAGTGCTCCACTAAATGAACTGTAAAAGCAAATGTCATCTCGAAGTTGTGATTACCGTGCAAACCAGATTTCCTGCGCCGCTATATCCACACATTACACAACCTACACTCTGTCGAGCCGTTATATCACCCAAATGCCTCTATTTCGGCTCCCCAACCCATCTGCATATCTACCTCTCGTGCCGGGACTCCAAAGTGCCTCTCCCAGCGGGTATCACCTACGCAGGCCACTTCCGACCCACCCGGTCCCGTCCCTGGCTGATGGCTGAACGGTGTTGTCGCCCTCCCCGCGCCCAGACTGGGGAGACATCCGTTAGGCCACGAACGAGGGAGCTCAGCCCAGCGCGGCGGCTATACCCGGCCCGCGGCTCATGGGAGCCACCGTGCCTGAAATGAGGACCGTGATTAGACTGAATGTCACCCCACCCAGGTCACAGCCAGTACTCTAGCGGTCAATGAGAGGTTATTACGACGGAAGTGCGGAATAATGTTGGATGGCTATCTTTGAAGCGTGACATTTCGCTGCGGTATGACCTTTTGCGACATGCAGGAAAATTTGAATTTCTGGAAGAAAATGTGCGCTGCATTGTATGAATGGCACCCCGAAGGTGTTGGCGTTGGGTAATATGGCGGTTTTAGGATCTAAAACGTCCTTTGCTTCCGCATTGCTGGTGTTTTATGCAGCAATGGAATTATGGTTAAACAAGGCAATATGCGCAGCATTGAACCTCTCTCAATCATCCGAGGTCCAATTGTCAGGCCAAAAAAAGCACTGCCTTGAAGCCTCATTCGCGTTGTTCCACAGATGAGCCATCGGCGTGTACTTTTTTGTCACCCCATACTCAGGACTTCTCCGCCTCTCACAAAGCACCATGTAAATACTTACATACCTTTGCAAGCGGAATATGCGGTAACTTTTGTAATTACCGCAGCGATGCATGCCTATTCAAAATCGGCACTGGCTTACGCGCCCTGACCGGTGGGTGAATAAACTTGTCAGCTGACTTCCAGATATAAGGTCAGTCACGGTCTTGCAACAATGCATAGCCGCAAAGTCGCTTTGTGTGGACCTAAGGGTAGGTATGCAAATGATTGAATTACTCAGGGCAAGCAATGCATTTCACTAGGCCTTTGGACGGTAAATACAATGCATAAATATAAAATATCAACGAACGTTTGCGGCAAACATTTATGAGTTTGGGTAATAAAGGCTGTCAGTGCCATCGGAGCGTTTACCGGCACAAGAATAATTTCAACAGCTATATGATTCTTTCATGTCTGATTAAATTTCAAGTCTCCTCTATTGTTCAACGACCCAGTGCTGTTATGCTGTCATTTTGGTCCAAGATCCTTTGAAGATTCCCTTCTGTTGACGTAAGTTTGAAATTGGTTGATGCGAGGATGAAAACGGTTAAGTTTTATGCAATAATTAATTGCTTTTTTACACATAGCGTAAATTATATGTACTTGGCATCGCCAAAATGCGATTCTGATGTCAGATATATTGATTCGTTTGGTGATATACGATTGATTATAAAAGGGCATTCCGTATTACGGGACACTGACAACTTTTCCAGGGCTCCTTGCATTGATTGAACGGTACTTGCATCTGATTCTTATGCCTTTTACGGTAAATAATTTGCCACCAACATATCAACGCATAATTCAGCTGGTTGCACATCAATGTCATGTGAGTAAACCAATCGCAGTTCGAGCGCACTGTGACATGTTGACCAAGTGTGCGATTTATTTGCCCCTAGGACTCAGCTCATCAAATTTGACCACTTGTCTATAAGTAGCTGGATCGTACCACCCCACGACCGAGCCATCACTGTCCGCCATTATGCGCTACTATAAATAGTCCCCGTTGCGTGGTTGGCCCCTGTCGCGGTCGTATCAACTGACCCGCGACCTGAGCTCACCGCGCGCCCGCTCAGCGTCGTCAACCGTCCCGGAACGACGGCCCGCCGCCGCTGCGTCGGAGCCGACGACCCTCCGGTGCGGCGCCGGCTGCGTCGACGGCGTCGAGTGTCGACGTCGACGAACTGCGCCGGCTGACCAGTCGTCGGCCGCTGGTGGCCCTGGACTGTGCGGCCGTGTGGGGTGTGCATTTGTTGTGATTCGTTTGCGGATTTGTTGATGACATTGAGGACGTTGGTGATTGGTGAACGATTTTTGCAATATGGATGATTTAGTGACATGCGAGTCCGTGTGAGGTGCTTACCTACCAGAAATATTGTGGATATCTTGTTGATTTTGCACAACATAGCGAACAACTTTGTCATCAGCCCTCCATTGTGCCGCTGAGGTTTGTTCGATAACTGAGATCGCGGAAAGCTCGGCCTAACGTTGACCCAATGCCCTTGTGTGGGCCGGTCGGTGCCCGTATCGTGACACTGCGATAGCCCGCGGCGACCCTGACCGTGCACTTCCGGTTGGAATCAGCTGACGGCGCCTCAGGCGGGTCACGTGATGGACCCGCCCGCGGGCCGCGCGGCCACCACCGCCGCCGACGGCGGTGCGGCAGCGAAGCCAGCCATCGACAATGTTCCGGAGAAGCCGGTAAGTGTGACTGTAATGAAGACGTGTGAGAGGAGAGACCGAGAGAGGGAGAGAAGGGAGAGGGGAGGAGTTTGCGGGAGGAAACCGAGCTAACAGAGCAGTTTGATGTGGGATTTCCCAGTTCGCGATGAGACCTTCCCCATTTTGAGAACATTTTTTTACACGATACCTTGCTAAGTAGGAAAAAATCAGCCACGCTGGAATGAAACCACATTCGATAGTGTGATTTGTCAAATAAAGCCGCGACATGTTGAAGTGCAGAGATAAATGTTAAACATGGATAAATGTTGAAATGCATGCTTACTGTTTATTCGGACTTCGGAGAATCACTTTCGGACTACAATACCGTGCATGCCTATTCATTCTTATAGAACATAGTTCACAAGGCAAGGGGAGCATTATAAAGAGGCAGCATATCAAACGCAATCCTTTTTGCATTCCTTCTTTAGATGCGGCGTTTAGAAGTTCAGTATTTGTTTTCCTCTCAGCCGTGGGTCGTGAGACCACCAAACCGAACGCCTCCTCAGCTCTACACATGCAAATTGGGCCCTCAGTAAACAACAGGTTGTGTTTGGCGCAGTTCGAAGTGAAGTGCGCCATAGCCGTCGATAGACTGCCAGGGAACCTGCAGATGTTGACGTGATCCCACAGTTCTGAATGCATGAGTCGATTATCATTTGCATTAACAATACAAGTCTGATAAAATGGAGTTTGAACGTGTACCAATTCATTTATTTATTCGTTGTTTTTAAACCCGCGCCCCGCGCCCCAGTGGCGGTCTCAGCCAACTTCACCCTAGTAGGGGGGGGGGGGGCATTTGTTTGTTGGAATGGAAATGGAAAAAAAAACAAATGGAAAAGCTATCGATAGCTTTTGAACTCTTCTTTTGATAAGGTCATCATCAAAATTGACCTCAGGTCAACGGTTAAGCCTCCATAGGTCAAATATTGTGAAAATAGCTGTTTTTGGATAGAACTTTTATCACGAATAACTTTTGAACCAGCAAAGATGAAGAATTGGCAATGGCACTACCGTGTTTCTCTCCTTCAGCCGTTTCAAAAGTCAAAACATATATTATTTTTCCCTGGAAAGGTCAAAATCAAATTTTGACCTCAGGTCAAGGTCACGTGGTGACCAAAACAGGTCATATTTCATATCATTCGATGCGTCTCGACAAGACAAACACAATGAAGCCATCCCCAGCGTTCTATCTCTTTCCAATCGAGAGTTATTGGCAAAAATCTGTTTTTAGCCTCAAATGACCTCGGAAGACCTTTCTAGAGGCTATCAGCAAAAAGACGCCTTGGTCGTCACGGGTGGTCCAAATCATTGTGATTTCGAATAGAAATATTTGGACTGTTCCTATGCGTACACACGGATCTAGAGGCATTTTCATTTTTCTCCATTGACTTATAATGGAAAGGTCACGCCACGTTCTTGACCTTAGGTCACGGATATACAAATCCGAGATATACAAATTATAGGTGCCCATAACATCATGCAATCCACCAAGTTTAAAACCTTTCTTACAAACACTGCAGGCTGGACATGATTGCAAACTTTTTAGGCTTGGTCAGTTCACTTGACCTGGTGACCTGATTTGACATGACCTGGGGTCAAAAATTTCACACATTGTCCAAAATTGATGCATGGAAAGATACTCGAAGTGGCGCGGCGCTACGCGCCGCGGTTTCTTATTCACACGCTAAAAAAGAACGCGACAGGGTGGTAACATATGCCCTCCCCCCACTGGGGCGAAGGTAATCAGCTATCTTGGCCTTTTTTCTGAAACCAAAAAGACTTTCAATGTAGGATGCTTTTCAATCTTGTCCAAGACCTTACATGTTTACTTGCTTTCTGACAGTTTATGACACTTCTGCTACAGTACACACGTAAAGTAATGGCTTGTGCCATGATTATTTCCAATTTGCCATATAAAACTTTTAAGAAGCAAGTAAATTAAGCCTAAAACAAGCACAAATAATGTTTGATAGGAGCTGCGCCAGACATGTAAAAATGCGCAGAATGTCCGTATTTTTCGGGATGCCGGCGTAAAGGGAAATATCCGCTCCCGAACGGATTTTTCCGATAAGGCCACCGCGCTGCTCATGTATACGGGGCCACCGAAACGCATTTTTCGGTTCCCTGGCTTATCGGATATTTCCGTTTAGGCTGAATGCCTCATGTAAACAGGGTAACTGACCAGACAGGCAGCTTCGCCTGGGTCGCCGGCACTTGAACTATGAACTAACACTCCAAGAAACGGGCTGATCAATCAGGCATTCTCAAATAGTGAAATTCGTAAAAAAAGTGGAAATTTACAGCCATGTAGCCCCAATACATCCTTGGATGATTGCAAGGATGGCAGACGTTTGTGATCGGTAGAAGACAATTACGATCGTCCAGACATCTGAGCCCCGGTTCGTTCCCGGTCTTCCGTAAAAAGGCAACATCCGCCGCCGAAGGGCAGGCTCACCATTGTTGAAACGCCGGGGACTGTTCTGCTACAGCAATGGCGAATAGGATGGTAAAAACATAACATAGTGGCTTGTTCCAATTGTATTTGTCGCCGCAAAGTCCGCAGCTGCAGTCCGCAGCTGATGTAAAAGGAGAAAGGCTTTGCAGACAAAGCAATTTCATTTACAACAGCTGATAGAATATCTAGCTATCAGTAAAATTCCTATGAAATACCTTCATGCGCTTTGATGAAATATGTGTGTAAAGTGAGCCAGCCGTCTAATAAAGATGATCGTTGCAATGCCCACTAAACCCATCCCACATACTCCTTGCACTCGGTTCTGTTGATGTCCCATCGGATCTTCCGACGTGCCACTGGCGACTCCACGGCGCCAAGTTTAAAGTAACATTACACAAAACTTCCCATTGATGCGCAAACAACATTCAGACGTGATCAATCCCTTACCTGATACACTGACGTCAACTGGCTGGGATTTACCATCAGTAATTTGAGCCGGAAGCTGCCACTGGGCGACCCACACTGCCCTGGGGAATGTCAGAGCTTGTGTCAATGTTGACAGAGCTGTACCGCTGAGGTCTGTTAGGACATGATCAAATAAGTCAGGTGGGCGTTTGTTCGCAAAGATAGGACTGAGAAGGAAGGTGTGAAGCTGACCGTGGAATACGATGAATGAGGGTGAATGCTATGGATATTACCTTAAGAAAATAAAATGTCACAATTGAACTTTTTTAAGCCGACTGGTTGAATAATGGTTTGCTATTAGTTGACGACCTGGGGATATACATAGAGTTGCCTCATTGCAGTATTCATGAAATCAACTAGTTTGCATAGTTCCCTGCAGTGAGAAGAGAACGATGCATTGAAGGAAGATAGCATTTTTATCTTGCATATATTCCAGCATTTCATTTCAATTATTCCTCAAAAAATTCATGCATAGTTATTTCGTACTTGAAAATGTTATTGTTTAGCTGGGACATAGTTGAATGGTGATAGAGATAACCGTACTTCCAGCTCTTCGTTTGTTCGAGAAGCTTTCGGAAGCTATACTGCTTCCTTCGTCAGCTGCAGCTCGTTAAAAACTAAAATACCTACAGCGAAAAATTACTCGCTCAATTCCAAATATATGTATGGACTGGGGTTGTCTGGACCTACGTGAATGCATTGATGGACATTAACTATTGGGAAGTAGTTTATTTATCAAATGTGGAACTTCATTATAATTTTGTATAATTACTGACCCTCATGATTGAACTTTTTAACGACATTGCAACCCGGTGGTTATTTGAACAGAACGAATGTTCTGTTGAAGCCAGCATAGGCTGTTCGAGGACGGCTTTAACGCTAGCATTACAGGAAATTAATTATGTTGACCTCATATGACTGTGCATAATCAAAAGATGATAGCCATTTGACTAATGCTAACTTGTTCCCAAAATAGCCCTGCTCGGTATGATTAGTTCACCGAATGGCCATTAGTCTGCTGATGCTTGGAAAGTCGCCTTTCTGTAGTTTATGACGGGAGAGGGGGAGGGAGTTAAGGCTCACGTAACGCGGTCACGATCCCCGATGAAGCCTTTTCTTTTACAGACTGTTGAAGATCTCTGAGTTGCGGAACTGTATCTGAGGCTGGGCATTTTCTACTGCCCGCGGTCTGTTGTGGAGGCCGCCCGCCGGGTCGGAGCCACGCTGTCGTTAAATCGATCACCAAAGGGCGCTGTTGAACCGGGCGGCCTTACTTGCAGCGTTGCCATCAGGAAGTTCTTTTCTGCCCCTAATGGACGGCCTTTCCTCGCTGGCACCGGAGGTGGTAGCCCGCGGCTCGCATTGATTAGTCAATATGGCCGTATCCTGAATGCGTGGATCATAATCCTCCCATACCCTGCATCTACCACGGAAATCTGTCCATTGTGTTTATCTCGACAATCTAAGAAAAGCTCAGGAAAAGACTAGCGTTCGAAGCGTTCGATGATGATCAGAGCCCTCACTTTGTGAAGGCTCAGTCCATTGAGGGAAAGACTCAGGAAAAGTCTGGCAACTTTTGGACAGTTCGGTCATTGCCGCTCTACCCTACAATCTTGTCTTCCGAACTTCAAATTGCTTAGTGTGGGACTAAATTGAGATGAATTTCAGTGCAAAGCCTACATCGAGCTGGATGTATGGCTTCTGTCGTGACATACTGAAACGACTGAATCAAGCTGATGTGATAAATACTCCCATCAACGTTAGCCTTATACCCAAGTCGTCATTCGATACAATTCAGAAATTGCCGTGTATGTCGTGTATCATTGCAATAGATCATTAAACCGAGACACCACCTAGCTTTATAATCTGACGATCCTATTCCAGCTCAAAGGTCACCAGTACTCAATAACGAGACCAATTAAAATCCCAGTGGAATTGAAGTCTAATTCACCTATGAAACTGATGCTCGTTATTATGGTCACGCAAGAAGCAGCATTAATTCCGAACCATCTCTAATGTCCTACTCTCGGGGGAGGGAGGGGAGTGGGGGCGGCGCAAG